TTAAAAAAAGCAAGAATTCACGGGTTGAGGGCGAGTCGTGATCAACATGTGGCTCTCGCCTTCGCGCCGCACACACTCATCTTAAAAATGCAAGAGCTTCACGGATCTAGGGCGAGCCGTTTTCAAAATGCAGTTCCCGCCTTAGCACCGCGCACACTCGTCTCAAAACTGCGGAAGCGCTCCATGGATTGAGGGCGGCTCCTTTTCAAACTGTGGCCCTCGCCTCAACGCCGCTCGCACACGTCTTAAAAATATGCCAAGAGTTTCACGGATTTCCATGATCAGTGCACGGGCATATGACGAGGGAGCTTGGAGGGAGGGTTTACTCCGACATCGTTGATGCCTCTTGGGTTTACACTGGTCCTCCTCCTCCTCCTCCTCCTCCTCTTCCTCCTCCTCCTCCTCCTCCTCCTCCTCCTCCTCCTCCTCCTTATCCTCCTTATCCTCTCCTCTTCCTCCTCCTCGTGCACCTCTGCCACCTCCTGGTCCGCTTCTCGGCCGCTACTTGGCCCCTGGGGTCCGATCACGGCTGCCACAGAGCCGCGGGCGGTGGAGCCTGAGAGCGCTCCCCCATCCAGCCCGCCCGCCCGCCCACCACGAAAGTTGCAATGATGATGATGACGACGATGGTGATGATGAGTATGGTGATGATGATGATGATGACGATGGTGGTGATGACGGCGATGTCGATGGTGTCGATCATCATGCTGATGATAATAAGGATGATGAGTATGATGATGGTGATGACGCTTACGATGATGACGATGGTGATGATGATGATGATATTGATGATGGTGGTAATGATGATGATGATGATGATGATGATGCTGATGATGATGGTAGTGATGGTGATGTAGGTGGCAATGATGATGATGAGATGCCGATGATGATGACGATGATGGTGGTGGTGGTGATGACGGTGGTGATGGCTATGCTGATGCTAACGCTGATGCGAACGTCCATGATGGTGATGATATCGATGATTATGATGATGATGATGATGATGATGATGATGATGATGATGATGATGATGGTGATGGTGATGGTGGTGGTGATGGTGGGGGTGATGGCGGCGATGTGCATGGTGGTAGTGACGGTGAGAATCATGATCATGATGATGACGGCGGTGACGTTGATAGAGGTGATGGCGATGGTGGTGATCATAACGGTTACGACATTAGTGGTGCTGATGGTGGTGGTGGTGATGCCGATCCTGGTACGGATGATCGTTGTGACGATCAGAATGGTAAGTACGGTGGTGATGTGCATGATAACGGTGATGCTGATGGCGGTGATGATGATGACGATGACGATGATGATGATGACGATGACGATGGCGATGATGATGATGATGATGATGATGATGATGATGATGATGATGATGATGATGATGATGAAGGTGCTGGTGGTGACGATGATAGCGATTATCATGGTAATGATGATGTTGCTGAAGCTGGTGATGATAAGGACACTGGTTGAGTGTGATGGGGATGACGGTGATGATGAACGATGATGGCGGTGATGCTGAGGATGATGATGACGATGACGATGATAATGACGATGATGCTGATGGTGATGATGATGCTGATGCTGATGATGATGACGACGATGGCGATGACAATGATGGTGATGCGTAGTCTAGTGGGGATAATGATGATAACGACGACGACGGCAATGACAATAATAATAATGGTGACGGTGACGATGATGAGGGTGATGACGGAGACGATGACGATGAAGATGACGACGATGGTGACGAGGACGATAATGATGAAGATGACGATGCGGATGATGACGATGATGACGATGGTGACGGTGATGATGATGAAGATAACGATGAGGATGATGATGAGGAGGAGGAGGATGAGGATGATGTTGGTGGTGGTGATAATGCGATGATGGTATGAGGATGTCGGTGATGATCATGATGATGATGATGATGATGCTGATGATGATGCTGATTAATATTGTGCTTATGGAGATAATGCTGCTGATGATGGTGATACGCATAAGAAGAAGGAGAAGAATAATGATACGGATGATGATGGTGCTGTTGCTAATGATGATGATTATGATGATGATGTGAACGAGGAGGGAAAGAGGGGGGAGGGAGAACGAGAAGAAGCAGGGAGGACTGGGAGAACGGGGAGGGGGAGGAGGATGGAGAGGAAGACGAAGGGGGGAGGGGGGAGAGGAGGAGGAGGAGGAGGAGGAGGAGGAGGAGGAGGAGGAGGAGGAGGAGGAGGAGTAGGAGTAGGAGGAGGAGGAGGAGGAGGAAGAGGAGGAGGAGGAGGAGAAGGAGGAGAAAGAGGAGGGCGTGGACGAGCGCGAGACGACGACGACGACGACCACGGGGAAGGAGGATGGGGACGACGACGAAGGCAAAGGAGGACGGGGATGAGCCGGAGGAGGAGGACGACGACGAGGGCGAGGGGAGCGAGGACGAAAACGAGGAGCAGCGGATCCCTCGAGGGCCCTCCCGCGCTCTTTTCACAGTGGCAGCACTGGCGCAAGCGGCCAGAGCAGCACGTCGTCAAAATGCGGCCCCCGCAGGCGGTCCGTCAGCGCATCGCGCCTTGGGGTTGCCGCCGCCTCGCGCGCCCTGCGAGCGGCCTGGCTGAGAAAAGAACAACTCGGCCCTCGGCTGGACAGGCGCCCTCGCAATCCGGGGCGCCTCGAGGATTGGCGGCGAACGCGGGGGGGAGGTGAGAAGGAGCGGGCCTTTCGACTACACGTAAGAGTGACCCTAGACAAGAGTGACATTTGGTGCGCGGGTTTTTGGGGACCTCGAGGGGCCCAAATCCAAGCACGCGGGCCAGTGCCGGGGCCACCCCTGTGAGCCCGCACCAAAGGTCACTCCGGCGAAAGGTCACTCGTTCTGAGAAGCCCCTTCTCAGAAGCCTGGGAAGGCCTCCGGCCTTCTGAGAAGTTTTCAAAGCCTTCCCCGAAGACGCAGAGAATGTCTCGGAAGGCGCGAGGACTTCTGAGAAGTCCCGTCGCCTTCTGCGAAGGCCTTCTCCTTCTCACTTCTCCCCCTCGCTCGCCGCCGAGAGGAGGGAGGGGAGGGATGAGGAGCAGCAGCAGCAGGAGGGAACGAGGCGGATCGGGAGGAGAACAACTAGAAGAGAAGAGGAGACGAGAGGAGAGGAGGAGGCAGGGATAGAATTTGGGGGAAGGGAAGTGGAGGGAGAGGAAGAGGTGGGCCGGAGCACACCCAGCACACGTCACCGAGCCTGCAGGTACACGCTTCTGCCCCAAGGCCCCCTCGCCATGAGGGCGCACACGGAAAGGCGACGAGATCTATACGTACACACCTCCCCTGCCAAGCCCATCTTGGCCCATACAGTCAGCCCGTATAATACGGACGCGCAGTAAGGATGCAAGGGCCCTGGACGCCCATGCCGAGGCTCTTCGAGCGGGGCTAGTCATGGAAAGTGGTTGAAGATGGGCCGAAGACGACCAAAGAGGCAAGGATGCGAGGATACCCTTGGGAAGTCGCTCACCCTTGCTACGAAGGTAAGGTCGGCTACCTGGGTAGCGTGCACACCGAGCCTGGGCCCAGGATGGGCCCAGTCGGGGGCGGCGATTTGTGTATAGGTTTGTGGATGCCACGACAATGGACACCCTAACAGTCCTATCATTGAATTCAACATGTGTTTGAAACGTCGGAGGAATGTTCTCAACATGTTTTGAGCAGGTTTTACATGTTTGAAAACATGTCGTTTACATGTTTTAGACATATGGGAATTGTTTGGCTACATGCTTCCTCTGAGGCCTGGAAATTGGCACCAACACCAACACAGGGGGTTGCCTCCACAGGGGAAGATGAATCCTCGATTTCGGTGTTGGTGGTAAGATTTCGGCCACCTTGGAAGCCAGAAGTATTACCACCATCACCGAGATCGGGATCTTCTTTCCTCGGTGAAGGCACACCGTCGATATTGGTGTTGGTGTCAACCTCGAGGCCTGCGAAAGTATAGGCCCCGTCGCCCAGCACAGGGTCGCTGCGGCCGGCGCCCGGGGGGGGCAGGCGCGCACGCTCCCTCTCGGAGGCGGCCTGACCGACCCCCAGCAGACCGTCCCCTTCCGTGGCGTCCCCCTCGCCTCGCTCCAAGTCGTATGTACCCCGCCAGCGTCTAACGATGTGCTAAAACTGTTTTACGTGACGTCACGCTCGCCTTTCAAGCGTCGCGCTGGCGTTGTGGATGCCACGGCAATGGACACCCTAACAGTCCTACCATCAGACTAAAAATGTGTTCAAAAAATGTCGGAAAAAATGCCCTGGAAATGTTTAAAGCATGTTTTTGACATGTCAGAACAGTTTTAGCACATCGTTTAGACATCTGGGAATAATTAGGCAGCGCGCTTCCTCTCCAGTCATCGACTTCCACAACGCTGGCGGGGCACATAAGACTTGGGGAGCGAGGGGAGGGGGACGTCACGGAAGCGGATGGTTTGCTAGGGGTCGGTCAGGCCGCCCACCTGGCCGTCGCTCGGACGTCCATTCCCTGTGTTTTTTTCGGGTTCGTGCGTGGTTTTTTCGCCAAATGGTCAAGGATGCTCCTCGATGGTCCTCGCCTGAGGAAAAATGCACACGCCCGAGCGATGCCGAGGATCCTCGGCCCTGGCCCACAGGCCGAGGGCCTGGGAGGGCCTGGAGGGGCGCGCTTCCCTGGCCACGCTCCAGGGAGCCCCAGGGCCGTCCAGGCCCGGGAGCGTGCTCGCGTCGTGGGGAAAATCGCAGTGGGAGGCTCTTGCTTGAAGGGGCCCCAGGACACACAAATAAATACACACAAATTAAAAAAGATTCCCCATATCTTCTTATTTTTTGGGGGTTTCTGTCTTCCCCCCCACTTCCCATGTTTTCCTATATTTTCTTGGAAATCGCCGATGAATTTTGTCTGTGTGTTCTTTCCCCTCCTGGTTGCTGTTGTGGGCCCCGGGGGGCCCTTCGGCGGGGACCGTCCCGGAAACGGGCGGGGCGAAGAGCCGGTCCAGGGGAAAGGGTCGGATCGCGCAGGAGGGCTGCGCACGCGAGCTGGCGGATTCCGCATAGAATCCAGCGCAGGCATCGCTTCTCACGTTGCAACAGATTTTACAAAACCATCTCGTAGGCAACCATCCACACCACCATCGCCACTGGCGTCAGCACCACCACCATGATCTAGCACCACCGTCATCACACTTTGCATCACCACCACCACCATCACCAACACCATCACCAGTACCACCATCACTGCCACGAAGCCGCAGCCAGCGACACCTTCTCGTCCGCTCCGTGCCGTCGGCATCGGCGTGCAGGCCGAGTGGGCAACACGGACACGCCCGTCCTGCAGCCTCCCGCGCGAGCGGACACCGCGCGCAATACGTTACGGATCGCAGCCAACGAAAACTGCTCGCTCCGAGCTGATCGCAAATATTGCCAGCGTCGGCATCGACATCATCACCACAGTCAGAATCGCATGTTGCCTTACTGCC